TCGGTTCTGTGCCCTGAAGTTCAGTGAAGGACTCCCAAGGGAATCCCACACGTCATAACGAATCAAACAAAACTCTGACGCCGAGCATGGCCTAATGCCGACTTCTTGTTTCTCAATAAATTACATTATTCATGCATTTGATTTGGAATTTTTGATGAATCGTAGAATTGTACTAGAATTAATGTTGTTTAAAGTACACGCGACTTGTGATGGAGACTTGACATGTCTGAAGGGGAGAGCGATGTGACGTGTCCGACAGAAGCTGTGGAATAAAATAGTTTTATACTCAACGACTGAAACTCTCAGGAGTTTTATTTCGTATTTTAATATACACGTTAAATGTTCTTTACAGAACTACGAGGAAATGTTGTATAAAGTATGAAGCAAGCATGCCCGATAATTTTTGTTGTCAAATTTCATAATGACATTTAAAAACAATATTCGTTATGTCTATATGTTTTTAAAAAATGTCTTTTTTTATTTTTATCAGTTTTTTCTGTAAACAAAGTTAAAACTTTCATTTATATCCAACATACAGTGATTGGCATTGTAGTGATAATTTTGTTTGTTATTTGTCTGATCTTAGACCTGTCCACATTAGCCCTATACCACTTTGAAAACAAATTTGGCCATTTTCTGTGACATTAGCTTTTCTAACTTTGTTCTATTGTCATGACAACATCGGGTAGAGTCGTCTGACCTTCAGCAGCGCGTGATGACCTTTCTTTTCGTCCTATAACGAGATGTGATTGGTCAATACAGGATGATTCCCCATTTAAGAGCTCGTGTCTATTGTTTGAGTAGAATTCCGCAGATAATTTCTGGGATTTCTGATGAGGATATCCCACCCTGTCATTACCAGCGGTAGCGACTGATAATGATTTTAGTAATTAAGTTTCACTTTCGCTTGAACACGTCCCCATTTTGACAGCAGACTATAGAGCGACCGACGGCCCCCCGCTAAGTCACTTGACAACTGTCACCAATGCCGGCTCTAATTTGGACGCGAGGATATGCCGGGTACTCTCCAATGAAAGAAAATATCGAGGTATTCCGAAGGAATAGATTATTAACGAGCTCACAAAGAGATGGGGGTAAATCTGACCCCTGACCTTGACGCGTCATTTAGGTCGAGAGCACGACACTTGAGGGCTGTCTGTGAGAGGTTTTACACGATTTTAGAAACACGATGTACGGTTTCTTCGACTGGACGTCACAGCACATTACCAAGTGTGACAGTTTCTTATTCTAGACGTCAGAGATTCCAGATAACAGCTACCATTTGTGTGTCCCGTCTATACCCAGTTATTGAGTAATGCCTTCTATATTACTGCTCATTGTGTTATGGAGCCAAAACGTATAGCGATTGCACGCGGATAATACAATCTTGTATCTTTAGTTATTCCTATTTTGTGTAGAAACGACACATTTAAATGAAACTGTCCTGATTATAGTTCAAGTTTCGTTATAGATTTCACGATTTTACGTGTCTCCTTCTCTCGGGAAAAGGTACACATAGTGACTTACATGTAGCGATGTTCTATTGTAAATGATTAGGCTGTAAACCAATTATAATCCAAATGACGCTGATTAATTAAGAATGTTTCCTTTTGGGATGTTTTGATTATATATATCGCACCTGCCGTTCCTTATAAGGACAGATATCTAAATCAAACTCTTTTAAAAATAGTAAGAGGTAAGATAGGAGAGCTGGTAGATCCTGGTGCTGCAATATTGATATCCAGGTGTAAACATGTCCCACTTCAGACGCCTAATTCAAGGAGTCCTCATTCCCTTAACCTTATATGTTTATACAAGTGAATTATAGTCTAAATATTTAAAATAAATTGTGATCGAAAACAATGATATAGTGATAATATTGAAGGAGAAAAAGATGCGCTTTGTTTGATAGAGAATTTAAACAAACTCGTAATACCACGATTTGAACTGTGTAAAAACGAACGGTTGATACACGGATACACGACACGATGAACTGCTCCTCGGTGTGGGTTTTACAAACAGTCGATCACATTTGTATATTACACTCGAAAGAATCGAAATTGAACTTTGCTATTGTTCCGTATAGCGAATGAATATGTCTATCGATCGTATGTTTATTTTATATTCTACAAAATCATTGTAAAGGCGATGAATTGGGCCTTAGTCAACTCAGCTGTACCCAATAAAATGACTAAATAAAAGTTTGATTGTTTATCAAGTATTTGTCTGCAAATACAAGAAGGTGTATGTAAACAAATTAAATGATATTAAATTTCGCAAAAAAATATGTAGACTGTATACAGGGGTTCTGTGCCACAGGTGCGTTGTTTAATAATAGAACTTTGTCCACGTGATCAAAAACAAGATCAGGCCAATCAAACTGTGTGAAAATATCCAAAAGTATCAATTTCATAAATCAACCTAAATCATTTCTTATTGTTATTAAGAACAAGAAAATTCAACATTTCTATTACCGAATCCCACAGCTTACTGTCCTTATAACACCATAACACGCGAGAAATCCAAAAAAGTTTTAAAATCATGAAGTCTTCATACGAATACTTTCCCAAGTAAACAATGTATATTTCAGCTTTCAGAAAGGCAGGTCATTTTGAATAACAGATAACTAATTTACATCCTCGTTCCACAAACAGCAACGATCCTATGAGGGGTATTTCCGGGGAGACAACTCTATAGAGAAGATAGTTATTGTAAACAATAAAATAGAGAGCATATCACCAAGTAAGAAAATAGAGAAGTAAATAGGGTGTACTATCATTCCGCGCATCCCGTGGATATATCAGAAAACCAGTTTTACACAGAGTTATCGTTCTTTACAAAAGTTGAATATCTGGGACAGGAACGTTTGTTTGTTTGCTAATTTTTCTAACGGAATACTGCCACTTGAGAAAATACAAAATGCAGAAAAAAGGTTCATAATATATAAACTCGCGAAAAAATATGTGCATTGAGCATAATGTAAAACATTAGTCTTTCTATCATTTAAAAAACACACAAACAAACAATAAATATTTGACCTCTACATGAAAGAAAATGCCGATGGGAGATTCATTTCTTCTGACAATTGGATTCATTGAAAGCGAATGACGAATAAGTTGTCGTCATCTTGTCCTTATTTCGCCCCCACTAACAGCGGAGGTACATTACTAATCCTCACTGTCAGAGGATGCCTATGGGTATGTACCTATTTCCATTTTTGATATCTCGTCTAATTAGAACGACAGTTTTCATGGCGTTGCCCCCGCCTGTGATAGAGATGTCTTTATCATGAATACCCTTGGGTTATAAAGGTACAATAGAAAATTGACTCCACAGTGATTAACGCCTCTCAATCACAACAATGGCGGAGTCGGGTGGTGTTTTGTAGGAGAGAAAAACTTACAGTTAGTGTCACCTTTCTCTATAGTAGTCACCACTAGGAGACTTCGTACAGTGGAACGTCCATAATGAGATTTTACAATATTAGCAAGCTGTTGACACAGGTATAATACGCGGTCACAGGTGTTTTCGTGGCTGTTAATAAAGGTCATAGGTTACAGACAAACAAACCGTTGCGTCACAGCGGCAATTAAACTTCAAAGTAATCAATATCTAACGGATATTCTTCTCTATAGTTTTAATTAGACAAGACCGAACGCTTACAGCGTGCACGAAGGCTACGTTATATGTAAAAGTATTGCTAAAAAACTGGACAACGTTGCTATGGTTACAATTCTTCATATTATCGTTTCCCCTTGCCACATCTCTTCCATTTAAACTTGAAACCATCGTGGTTCGTTTATGTCGTAAGATATTGCCAATAACCTACTCCATGGAAGTAACATTTCAAAAACTTACTAAAAAAGTTAATTGACAACTTTCATTTTTTTAATAGTGTGATGTATATTTTTTTTTTTGAAATTATTGGGAAATGTGAAATTATGACGTGACGTCAAATTCTTATTACTCTACGGAATTCTCTAGGAAGTATTAATCAAATAAAGCGCGATATATTTCTCGAAAAAAAATCGCAAAAAGCGGGTGTATGAGAACTTAAATGTATTTCTTAAAGCCCCAATGTACGTAAAAAACACTATAAAAAAACAAACTTTATCTTATTTTCCCCGTCATATATGTAACAAAACAAATACTTTCCTTTAATTAAAGAAAATAAAACTGACTGTTTTCAATTTAAATAAAAATTGAAAAAATTGGAAAATAAACATTGTGGGACCCACAATAATTCATACATTACCGCTCGTAGCGATGACATTGCGCATGCGCATATTCCGCGTGTGTAAACATGGCAGACACAGTCCAGACGTTTACCAGTCGCTTCCTTTTTTTCCAATCATACATCAGGCCAGTTCTGAATTCTTACGTTATAATTGTGCGTCGTATCGTTTCTAAACTAATTATTCCTCCTAATAATTTCCCAAAAACTGAATGTTTATCACAGGAATACCTCAAGTCTACGACAAGACTTCGCAAACAATGTTTGTAAACAAAAACTTACCGAAGACATATCTTGCATATGTGCTTCCTCTATAAGTAGAAACCTCAACTCTCGCGAGATCAGGTCATGAACTTTCCGACGTGGTTCGGCAACAATCGTAATTTCGATGGCGGCGTGTTTAAAATAGAGGTGTGTTTACAAATAGCGAGTTTCAACTGCTCATATATCAATACTTTATGCACAAAGTCATGGTAACTATGGTTTGAATAACTTAATTTTAACTACATCTTAGAGAATATCTCAATAATTATGTGTGATTCTACACTATACGTATATTGGGGCTTTAATGAAACTTTGGAGTGTGCTGTTTGACAGAATACATATATAATATTTTAACCAACTTTTGACCGATAATTTTCCCTGGCCCGGGAAATGAAGGCGATTTATTTTCTTTATTTATCATTATTTATTCAGTATACACACATGAAGTATTGTAGACTTTTAAGCAGTGATCCGTGTTAATGTACAATTTGTTTGTTTTCAGGAGGACTTGGCCAATATTTAATAAACAGGTGTCTTCACATTAAATTGACGTCACAGTATTTGAAGATCGGCGCTTTGTCTCGCATACAAGACACAAGGTATAGCATTATTTAGTTTGGCTGGCCAATAGGTCAGACAAAGAAAACGGGGATAATTATTGGAAAATTTTAGATAGCGCGTGCTTTTTTTTGTGATGCCAAAACACGAGTAGCTCGAGCGTTGATAGTTTAATTACCTCAGTGGTCAGCTCAGTCGGATATTCCGGACAAAGGTCTCGATTCAATATCACCATTGTTCCCTAACGACATAAACTGCCATATGATTATATACTCTGAGGTTCAGAAGCTGTCTGGGTGACAGGGATCCACATGACTGTAAACAGATCAGATTGTAACCCTTAGCGATGTTCCATTTGCTTAAGAAGCAGTAATTTTGTCTCGATAACATGGTGTAGGACTAAACTACCATGTACATCACAAATCTTATTTTCTATCATACTTAGTCGTACTATCGCATTCTGATCCACAGAGTTACGTCCCTTCGTTTAAGCTAGACCACCGATGAAGAACGACCAATCCATAGTTGATGCTAAATTTCAATCGGCGATTCCGTTTCTTTGTCCTCAAATTGACATCGACATTTTTATATTTGTCACTCAGATTGATAATCATTGACACAATGGCTATTTGAAGACAACGTACCTATTTCAAATAGTGCTAAAGTCTTGTTGACTACGACCAGAGACGAACACCTTTATTGTTACAATCTGAGTTAAAATTGCTCCAGATATAAACTTGTATTAGCATATTGTATATCGGTCAGTACGAATTTTTTTTCGTCTTGCCAAAGTTCAAGTTCAAAACTCATTTTCACCACACCTGCCCAATATATGTTGGCTGGACAAATGAGACCTCTGGGCGGTGTTTGGAGACTCGACACATCCCGAGTGGTTCATTATGTTGCTCCCTGCAGCTTCTCCAGTACGTTCATCCAAAGTGCCCTACATTGTTGTACAAATGGACATTGTCCGAGTCATCTGCTCGGCCGGGTTTCCCGGCCAGACTTTTTGTTGTGTCATGGAAACCCATACACGTTTGATTTAGCAATGTGTTGTGTATGTTATGCCCTCAGTACTGTAAATATGATATCTTTATTCAAGCGATTTGATGCATCCTGTTTTCCCGGGGGCGTGGATAGGATCCCAAGGGACGGGCACTCATTTAGGTGTCTTTGATGTCTATGTTTCGGTAAAGACGAGGAGATAAGGCGATATTAGGAATACAATTTGTACCTCTGATAATAAGGAATATGGACGATGGGGAGGGGATGGGAGGGGAGGGGGAAGTTGTTGGTGTGGCAGTAGTCTCATACTAGGAATTAACATAATAGGGGTAGAGGGGTGGGGATGGAAGATGAGGATGGACGGGAATTACTGGAAATATTGGTTTGCATTATTGTCTGGATTAGATGATCTTAGATTTCATTAAGACAGAGTGAAAAAAGCAACTATACTTTTTTTTTCTTGTACGAAGTTACCGGTAACTACCTTATTGAACAGCATGCGGAAGATCTATCCAAACTAACTGGATTAAAATGTCTTCAGAAAGCCGTGAAGGTTGCGTAATAACTGATGGTTCATGCTTAAAACCTGATCTTAAATTCGATGTTTTGAGGGGATGCCATCCGCGTGGGAATCGAACCACTAACTGCACGTCTACGATCGTCTGTCTTTTATTTTATAGACCTCTTAGTCTGGAGACCAGTTCAGCTGATTTGTGACCTCCAATATTTTTTCGATATTGATATCTATTTAGTAGTTTAAGTATTAGTTTTAGTACACTTGTATAACCAGTATACGTGTAAAATCTAAAATAGCCATGAAATCTGGATTTACATGATTCAAAACCCACTTCAGCAGAAATCTCCAGTTACGACAAGTTCTGATTACTGATTAGTTCATTAAAACCTGAACAGGGATTTCCGATGTTTAATAAGAACGAAATCTCACAGGTGTAGCTGTAGGTCGAGTTACGTATTATAGGTATCTTATAACAGTTTTACACCTGACACTCTTAGCAATCTTACCACACCTGTACCTGTGATACCTGTTGTAGTGCTGAGCTCTGAAGAGGTGCCGATCTCTTCCCAACATCTATATACTGAGAAGTTAGTCTTAAGAAGACCGAAGACCAGCTACTGGTTTTGTTTTAAATTATAAAAACAATACATTTAGAAACTGATTGAAACAATTGAAACAAACTATAGAGCAGTTAAAATCCAGCAGGCAATTTTTGCTTTATTTAGAGCGAACATATCGCGTTCTGCATGTCCGTCCCATCTCGAGTTTATTACAACAAAACATACACCATTATCAATTATGATACAATAACTTAACGACTTCCTGTTTCATGGTCCCCATCACGAGGTCAATGCTACACATACCCATAGTAATCACCATGGTGATTTCCTTTTTGAAGGGATTCTATCAAACTTTACGTGAAGGCCAATAATGATAAAACCTTGGTTCAGTTTGTGTTTCATAGTCGAAAGGTCAAGGTCACATCTACTTATAACAAAAGATCGTCAACCGATTTGATGACATCATTCTGTTTGGTTTTATTCATTGATGATTCTTTTATAAAATTTATTACAAAAGTAAGGTATGATGCTACAAAATATTTTGTGTTTCATTAAAAAGAAATAAAAATGTATAAAAATGTATAAAAATGTATAAAAATGTATAAACGATTCGCCATCATTTCTGTATATTTTATATCAATATTCATGTTTCTTCGTCTCCTAATTGTGTAGTGTAGTTTTGGGAGAGGGCTTAGTAAGTCTCAAGATTGTCAAAAGGATATGTTTGAATGGAAAAAATACTGAGGATGAGAATCGTCATGATTGTAATTTCTAACTGGTTGTCGTAAAATAGAAACATACAGGATAATGATCTATGATAATAATAAGGATTCATGATAACATATTAATTTTAGTTTCGCGTACCTGTCATTACTAAGTATGGGGTTTGTCAATATAATTGAATTCGTCGTTATTGCACCTACACTGTAAGTTGACCTCTACGACGTCACAATGGATATGAATGGACACAGAAATTCCAATAGACATATAACTGTTATATATAAAAATACATATACACGGTCCCGCCCCTCTCCTTCACTAGAACTTGTCGCTAGTGTTGTAAATTTGTCACTGTCGACAAACTTGTGCTTAGTTCCGCTTGTCAGCACGCCCCTACGCTAATCGCCGAACGAGTACTTCTTTGTTGGGGACACAATTGTCTTGGCGGGGGGCGGGGCGGCCATTCAGCGAACATTGCCGGAGAGCTTGCCACACATTTAAAACTTAATAGAACTTAAAATTTAAGGAGGTGATTTGGATGATATTCACTTCATCGCGGATTTGTGTCTGGCACGCTCTGGCGAACAAATACAGAGTCTAAAACGGTCTTCTTCTCGTCAACAAAAGGTGCGCGCAGTGGGACACGGAAATAATTAGGCGGTGATTTGGCCGACCCCATCCGCACATATGCTGCTAGGGTTCTGTCAACTTCTCCATGTGAACCGATGTTGTAGGTGCTCCCGAGCATTTAGACATCATTTGGTCCTCAGGCATTTAAGTCGTTGTAGTCAGAATTTTCAAACATTACTCTTAATGCAAATGCTAGGTCCCCAAGTCGTGATCAAGCCCAGAATTCTTCCCATAAGGTAGAGTTTCACTATTCATCAATACAAAAATCAAAGTGAAAAATACTATTACAATATTGTGCATGACTAAGATGGTAATGAATTACGAAAAGCCTGTTTAAATATATAAAAAATCAATATGTTCACATTTCAAGTATACATGTTTTAAGATTAAGTGTTGATCAATTATTCTGATAGATGTCAATACGACTTTATTTGTTTTTCATATGTCAATAATATGACAAGGATAATGATGGTTGTTAGACGTCAATGATGTCACAAACTTGAAAATCTGCAAAAACAGGATTTTGAACAACCTTTTCTAGAACTCTCTAGCTTATCATAGCAAAGAATCGTATAATACCCCGGCAGGTGTCGTGTGCTGTTTGTTATCGAACGTACTTCCGCTTCCGGCGCATTGCCGTCGGATATTTTCTTGTGTCGTCAAATATTATAACACCATTGTCTATACACGTGTGTTGTGACTGACAAGTAAATAATTATATTTTATTCAATTTGCTAATCGATTTTTTATGACACTTTACCTGAGCACGGTATCTTTTTATCATAGTTATGAAGACTGAATGTAAATAGTAATCTCGTCAATCACGTGGTCGTCTGTGACAGTTGACGGTCGGTCTGTGCCCCAAAGGACTACAGAGGACAAATTAAACCCTTTCCTACATATTTACCTGTTCGTTTACCGTCAATACGTTCTCCGTATGTAATCTGTAATATTACAAATCGATCATTGTATTCGACAAGTCCATGGGATTAAAAGATCATAAAACTGACATGGACGAAAACTATTTTCAACAAAAAAGAGCGTTCTATTATCACAATATAAAGCTATATAGAGGTTGGGTAGGAGGTATTTTGAAGTTTGTCGTCAAGTATAATAGGATTTTTTGTCTTGCACTCAAAACTTTATCTGAAAATGTATTCAATCTATGAAAACGCAGCGTTATTTTGGAAAAAAAATATCGATGATTAGTTGGGAAACACGTATGGTGTGTTATTGCGAGGAAACCGTGGTACTCGGGGAAAAAATATAATTGTGATGGAGATTCCTCACCATTTTGCGTCTGGCTGGGAATCGAACCCCAGACGTCTGAAGGAAAGACAACATATGTACCGTCTTCTCTGCCCGACAACTTCTTCTAAATTTTGCGAGTCGGATGCACAAGTTCTTAAGTTTCAAGTTTATCATAAACAAGGAAATTGTGATTATCTTCATGTCTTGAAAATTGAAGGAAAATGGTATATTTTCCCCTTCTTGTAAGATCTTCTGTGATGAGATAAAATAACACGATCAGCACGATACGGAGAACACAGTTACCCATCGCTAACTGGAATTCACAATGATTTAGCTTTGTATAAACATTATAATCACT